AGAGTTCTTCCTGCATGATTTCAGCTAGGGCTTCTATTACTTCAAGCCTCCATTCTGCGTGCCCTTAAGCACATGCGGTGGTGTTATTTCTGTGGAAAAGGTTGTTCTTGCCTAAATGCTGTTTGGATTTGGTGGAGGAATTCAGTCGCTATGGAAAGTGGGGCCTTAAGTGATGAGACGTTTCCTAAAGACTTAGGGGCACTGACCGACAAAGGAAGGAAAGTGGCAGGGAGAGTAAGAAACTCCCCTTCAGACACGTCTTTTTATGTATCATGAACTTGACCAAATGAGCCCTAGCCCATTGAGTTTGAGGGATCCCAGGATCATTAGCCAGGGATCATAGAAGTGCACAGATCACATAGCACTGGATCACATAGCATCAACGGGTTGTAGCAGATCATACAGTAGGGAACTAAAATTGCAGTTTATTCATGTTTCCCTAAAGCATGCACAGTGACAGCAGTCAGTGCACAAGCTAAGAGAACTTCCAGCTGACTCTGCCTCGGAGGGGACTCTGCTTCTGCTGGGAAAAAAGAGAAAAAATAAGAATTGGAGAACCATCATCTGACGGTCCTGCTTTCCACTGCCTATATGTAATTTATGCCTGAAGTGTTACAACAACATGATGCTGTTACAGTAAATACTATTTAGTAAATATTTGCGTTCTTTTTTTCTAATTAAGAGGTTGCATTTTCCTTTTCAGTAGCCCTGTAAACAATATGGACCATAATGTACTCTGCATTACACCAACTTCTGATAACAAAGCAACCGACTCAATTCTGAAAAGTGGTTTTTCTGAGTTTTTTGCACAGCAAAATTCATGCTGTTTTGTTGCACATAAACTCAAAAGGTTATTTTGGTGTAGGCTACAAGAGTTTTCCTGCTTTCTGAGTAGCTGAAATATAATTCCTGAAAAAATACATTGCAAACAGGCAGTGAGTCACCTGTACCACGTATGTCTTTTTTGCAGCCTTTGAGCGAATCTGATCTTGTTGATGAATTTTCAAAAGACTTTGCCAGCCCTGCACAGCCTGCAGTTCAGTCCAAACCATCGAAGCCCAGCAGCACGTCCAAAGTATGTCTTTTTAGTTCACTGAGGATGCTGATACTGATAAGTTTTGCTAAGACTGGAGAACACTACTGTTCTTTCAAGAAACATATTTTCTTCTGTTCCTGGTTTTCTCCCCCTGTTGCCTTCAGTGGAACATTAATTGAGGGGCTACTACCTTTAAATTTAGACATTTATTTCTTGTTCTGTACTGTATTAAAAAAAAAAAAAGCCACTTAACAGGTACATTTGGGGTTTCTGAGCATATTCCGTAAAATGCAGTGTAATTGTTCTGTTCCAGAAGCCTTCAGATCCCGTATCTGCAAAAACTGCTGAGGGTGAAGTAGTCCCTCGTGCCACAGCTTGCACTGTGCAGTCCTCAGCTCCATCAGCTGGGTCTTCGGTGAGTAGCCTTAACTGGAGCTAAAGCAAAACCCAGTGCTTCGTTTATGCAACAGTATAGCATAATTGGAGGGTTGGACTGGATGATCTCCCGAGGTCCCTTCCAACCCTTGCCATTCTGTGATTCTGAGATACTGTCAAGATGCTCATTTCAGTGTTCCATGTTCTTCCTTTGAGGGCTTTCCAAAAAAATCAAGTCAAGCACAAACCGAATGGGGAAGGTCAGTGACCTTCTTAATAGGGGAAGTCAAACTGACAGTTCTTGTGGTCTGCTCTAGCTCTTAACATTCTAAAAGGGGTGCAGCTCGTGAACTTAATAAATACTGCCGGAAAAAACAAATTCTACAAAAAAATCACAGTTGTCCTACTGAATATTTTGGAAGATTGCATTAACAGCTGACATTCTTGCATCTCTTCTCAGAATATATATGTGCTTCTATTAAAAACGAAGGCAAACAAACAAAAAGCCCCATGTGGAACATTTTAGCTGTGAGTCAGCCTCTGGAAAGGAGAAGCCTGTTTACAGAGCAACCCCTGTCAAAGTTCCCATATACCTTGAACTGAACTCAGCAGATCCCAAGTATTTGAGGACAATTAGGGAGAGAAGCATTACAGGTTTTTAGTTTACTTCTCACTTTTTACCTTAAGTAATGTGTGGCTGGTGGTGGTAGTATATGAACAGGCTTCTTCAGCTGCAGCTGAACTCCAAACTAAGAGTTGTGTCTTACTGTATCGATACCCTTACAGGTCGGTCCCGTGGCAGATGAAGTACTGGAAGCCTTGTCCAGTAGCCTAGGAAAGAGGGAGCCTGATCCAGATGAAAAGAAACCTGCTGTGGACAAAGTCAAGGTAGTGAAACAATCAGACCTCAAAAAATAGACTTTTGATGTAATTATCTTCAGTGTTACTGTATTTCCTCAAGCTAGAAATCATTTAGAGATCATATTTTCAGTCTTTTTGAGAACAAAATTTACTTGTGAAACCAGTTGTGTTCTGCTTAGGAAATCCTACAAGTGGGATTTCAACACAGTGAGTATGTTTTCTTAATAATTTTTGTCTATTACAGCACAGTAGTTCCCTCAGCTTCTGAAAACTGCATTTGCTTAGTGTCTTACTGGTGAACCAAAGCAGAGTTAATACGCACATCAGAGGCAACATACAGTATGGTCCTTTTCTCAGAGGAGCGAACATTATGAGGAGTGTTGAAATTGGGAAGGATACATAGAACTTTCGTGTTTTCACTGACTGTGTTATTTTAACAGGGAGCCTTAGGGAAGTCACTGAAGCACGTGTATTCTGCCTAAGGGGACACCGTCCATAGTCACAGTCTGAATGCCCCTGTTTGCCACCCCAAACCTTGGGCTGGGTGGTTTTGCCTTGAGCCAAAAGCAGAGGGCAGCTCTTCTGGTGAGCTGGAACTCTATCAAAAGGAAGTTCCCAAAGTTGTCTTTTCTACCTTTTCTTAGTTGTCAACTTCCAGCATAAGTTGTATGGGGGACAGTCCTTTTTGAAGTTGGCTACCGATTTCTCTGTTCAGCCTTCCTCTGCATGCAGCCCGGGTAGCTGTTGAGTGGATTTCAAAAAAAAAAATCAAGAATTAATGCTCGGAGGTATAATGTTATTGTGTCATTGGTCTATGCTTGTCTATTTACTTCACTCTCTGATCTTTGCTGAAGTCGGTAGAGCTGCTTCTGATACACACAGGGAAACAGGCAGAGAAATGAAGGCTTTCTCAGGAGAAAAGGGTTCCTTTTAGCTTGAATGAGATTTTTGTCTGGTAGTTGGGTTAAAAGACTAATTTGAATCAGTAGACTGAAGACTTTGAAAGCTTATCTTATATATACATGTCTGTTGGGATGCAGTTATTTGGTTCTATTAATATTTTTTTTAATTTTATTTTGCCTTCGCAGGAGAAAACCAAACAGGAAGAATGCAAAAAATTGGGTGAAGATGAAGAAACAATTCCTCCAGAGTACAGATTAACAGAAGCAAAAGTAATATATTTAGTGTGCTGGTTTAAGTCTTACTTTCCTTTCATTCCTCAGAATACATGGGTGAAACTGGAACTCCATTTCATTCTGAAATGCCGATGTTTAGTTAACCCACTTTTTATAGCATATAAAAACTCTGGTTAAAGCTGTTTAAAAAAAAGTATTGTGACCAGTCTGGAAGTTGGGGTTTTATTTATTAACTGTGCTATTCCCACGAAAATTGAAACACGAAGCAGGGAAGCTCAGAATCCAACACGCTGAACTACTTTTCGGCAGTCAGGTGTTTCTAAGTCACAGGACCTGGACTTTTTAACTGAGACCTTGAGTAACAGCAGTAGATGCTGGAGGTTACTAGTTAGATCATTTTCTGTGTAATACTGTCTGTCGTTCAGTGAGTGCTTGCAGAGGACTTGTATTGCACGGATGTTGAAGGACTGCTTGGTTTCATTTAAGGGTCTTTTTCTTTTGTAGGATAAGGAT